AAGAAGAAGAAGAAGAAGAAGAAGAAGAAGAAGAAGAAGAAGAAGAAGAAGAAGAAGAAGAAGAAGAAGAAGAAGAAGAAGAAGAAGAAGAAGAAGAAGAAGAAGAAGAAGAAGAAGAAGAATATATTTAAGCGTTATGACAGGAGAAGAAAAATATTGGGTTGCCCAATAAGTTCGTGCCGCTTTATAGAATTATCGAAAATTATCGAAAATTGAAACCCTGTTCTCTTAAATTTTTGGAAATGTTTTTAAATTATATTGGTACGACTCTATACCTAAAACGTCTTTTTTATTGGACAAAATTTTAAAAATTAGTTTTTATGATGCCAATGAAATGAAATAATTCACAATATAGAAATTTTTGTGACGTTTGATAATGGTGGAAATCCGAAAATGAATCCACTTCGGCTACAGTCTATTGTAAGCTTTACATCGAAAATCAGAACGAACTTTCCGGACAACCTATAATAATACAAAGTGTCAAATGAATGTAACAGAAGTAGTTTATTCTAAATTGTATCACAAGTATATAGAGATAGAGTTCAATTTTGTCAAATGTACCGATATTTTTGCGCACCTTGACTGCTTCGTTACTTATGACGCTGTGGCTGCTACGATATTTATGAGCATCTTGCATGTACTCATATATTTGACGCTGTGTATGTACCGATGTATTTGAGCAGGGTGAATGTATCTATTATTTTGAGGACTTTTGTTGTACCGATATAATTGATTACTTTTGATGTACCTATATATTTGCATATCTTGTCTGTTACGATCTATATGACGCTGACTGTACCGATGTATTTGAGCAGGGTGAATGTATCTATTATTTTGAGGACTTTTGTTGTACCGATATAATTGAATACTTTTGGTGTACCTATATATTTGCATATTTTGTCTGTGACGATCTATATGACGCTGACTGTACGTAAATAAATTTTATTCCATATTTACATTAAAATGTTGCTAAATGTTTTTTATAATCGTAAATACTTAGTAAAAGTCAATGAAATGAAAGTTCGCTTTGAAATTGTATAGAAGTTCTTAATAAAATAAAAGGTAATGCTTCACAAAACCGAATCAAGCCAAATTTCCATTACATATGTGTTAAACGATAGGGAATATTCTAACACTGTTTTGGAAGTTTTTTTGGAGTCGTTACTTAAGTTGAAAAAAAACGAAGAAAACTACATAGGGTAAGTTAAGTTTGGAACAATCAAAAAAAGATACAATAGAAAAGCGCAGGATAAGTAAAGCTAGGTTTATAACATGTAATAAAACACCAAAAGCAAACTGGAATGGTTAGGTTCAGAACATTTTTAATACCATAAAAAAACATCGAAAAAGCGAAAATATTTTCTATTATAACATGTGATTTTATAAAAATTGTGAGTGTCAGCATACCTGTTACAAAACTGAAAACATATGAAACAATTTTATTATCTCACTGAAATAAATTAAGACCCCGAAAAAAATGTTCATAGCAATATATTCATCTTCAGCAATCTTCAAAGCACTACTACTACTACTAATGATGATCATTTCCTAAAAATTAAAATTGATTTTACGAAAACTTGGTTTGATTCGCTATTGTAAAGTTGTACCAAATATAATTAGTATTCAAATGTTAAAAGACTTTGTTTATTGTTGTGTTTGGGTTGGACTTTAAAATGGGAGTGTGACTCACTTTCCAATGACAAATTGACTGAAATTTATTATTAAAAAGTACACATCTTTAGGTTTGTTTATAATAAAATTATGAATAACATCAACAATATGTGATCTTATGAAAATAAAGATATCTGTAATTGTTTATTTTTCTAAATAAACTAAGTTACCAGCAGTTACATCCAACCTCTGAAGTTTCTGTAACTTATTAAATAATAAGAATAAGCTTTACAGTTATAATTAATTACAAAGGAAGAACATTGTATGAACAACTTATCAATTTTTAATACTTTCTGTTTTTAGGTGTGAAACAAGTAAAAAGTAGTAGAAAACATAATCTATGGATTCACAGAAATAGAATTTGAATAAAGATATAATTATACACTCTATTCATATTTAAAAGAACTAAATGTTGAACTAGAACTTATGACCTTTTGCTGATTGCTAAAAAATAAATTTACAACAAAAATTGATGAAAATAACATAAAAGTAAGTACAAGACATATGCCAAATTCTACATGGTAAGTGGTATGATCCCAAAATGATGCCTCCTAAGCTCATTATTTTTCTCGTTAAGGAATCTATAGGTTACACATCTATGGAGAACAGTAATAACAAAAGGGTTAATATGTGGAATCTTTAGGTTCACGATAATTTTATGAATTTATTTGAGAAGTAAAATTTAATATTGTATTCTATTTTTACATTACATTATATTTAACATGACTTTTACATTTGCAATATTTTGATAGGAAAAGTTTGGATTAGGGGACTATTTGGAGTGTCGGCAGTGCAGTTGGCGCTTGACCGGATCATATTTTACATATCCAGGTACTATCTCCGCTATATAGTAATGCGTTCTTCGAATTTCATGATAATATCCATCCGACATTCTTACTGTGATTACAAATTGCATACAACTGCATAGAAATTCAAAGATATGTGTGAAGTCAACGAAATTGTTTTATTTTTCCATATTGTTTTCCTTCAAATAATACTTTCAAACGTCAATAAGGAAACTGACAGATAGATTTTTTTAGGTTGGTAGCAACGGAGACTTGTTCATAATATTGCTAGCATTGAAAATGACAATTTTTATTCTCCGTTTGTGTATCTAATTAGTCAAGAGTCTCGTCTCTTATTTTATGTACTCTTTGATACTTCCTGCAATCGGGAATCAGCAAAGAGTATCTTACGAACCATTACTTCTCTTACTTATCTTTTACATAATCTATGGATTACTAAAATGTCGCATTCTGTTTTGGTATCATCGGGGAATAAAGGAAATCAATTTTCATAATTATCGATGATTTTAGTATTACGTTCACGGTGTATTACTTACAAATACGAGGGAATTTTTAACTTTAATCCACAAGTAAGAAAATGCTACCGTTAATTTTGTGTTACTTTTTATTGAATTATTTTATTTTCTGATGCTCCATGGTTTAATAAATTTTTACTTGACAGTAAAGTTATTGATAATATTTTTAATTGGGTGTGATGTTATGATCGAATTCGACTTCTAAAATTGTTCATCTCAATCATTATTACTGTTTATAAAGACACTGGTAATTCTTCTTTTGTTGTTATAAATAGAAGTGTATTTTAGTTTTATAACTGTACCAAACCATTTACAATTTTTTTTATTATCACAGTTACATTTTAAGTAACATTGTAATCTACAAATTTTTATCGCAAACCAATGAACAGTAAGTTAATTGCTCTTACTTTCATAATTTCATCCTGTTTGAGTTATCTAGTTAGTTTAAATTTACAGTGATAATACTATTGATTCATATTTCTTGATGATTTGTTCTATTTGTTATAAATTTGTAGCCAATTACTGTCATTTCATTGAGTATGTTCTCTGCTTCAATCCTTTATAAAATATTATTATAAGTATATTTCTGTTGAAAATCCTATTTTAATCAATATTTTTTAATTATGACCAGTTTATCACTGTAATTTCTTTGTTAAGTGCAATGAAATGTGAATACAATAGTTAATGATTTATCAATGTATTCATTTAAATAATAATGCAACTCATTATATTCAATATGATGAATTTCTATTTAATAATCTTTGATTATCATCTACAAAGTTGCTAATACCATGTTAACACAATGTCTTAAGAATAACAAGTATCTTTTTTAGTTGTGAACAATATGTAAAACTTTTATTTTTAATTTTAGCCATGAATACCACAGCCCCAACATCTGCTGATGCCTGCCTCAGTATTGTCCATTCACTTATGTGCCATAGACAAGGTGGCGAGAGTGAAGGCTTCTCAAAGCGTGCCATAGAGTCTCTTGTGAAGAAATTAAAAGAAAAAAGAGATGAACTAGATTCACTTATAACTGCAATCACTACCAATGGCGCTCACCCTAGCAAATGTGTAACTATACAAAGGACTTTGGATGGACGCTTGCAGGTTTGTTATTGCTACTGTTTTTAATAAACTGTATCACTAATATATCTATGCTGGTATAGTAGTTTACAAATAATTTGCGAGCTCTTAATGACATGTGAATTGCTGTGCAAAACACAATTTTAAGTGTAATGGGGCATAGCAGCGTGCGGGGGGTTATTGCTTAGTGCAATGATGACAAAATATTTGAAATTAAGTTTCTTATGGATAGGTTATAATGATAATTGTTTTATGTAGGTTGCTGGCCGTAAAGGATTCCCCCATGTGATTTATGCAAGAATTTGGCGTTGGCCAGATCTACACAAGAATGAGCTGAAACATGTTAAGTTTTGTCAATTTGCTTTCGATCTTAAATGCGACTCAGTTTGTGTGAACCCCTACCACTATGAGAGAGTGGTATCACCTGGAATTGGTATGTATCTGTTAAAAAAGTATTATAAAATGTTGAAAAGGCTTTGATTGTAAAAATAATGTTCTGATCTGATAATAATAAAAGGGAAAGAACAAAATTTGGTCTAATAGTGTCTAATTTTACTAGTTATAGGAAAAATGAATACTTTCAGATCTCTCTGGTCTAACACTACAGTCAGGGCCGAGTAGGTTAGTGAAAGATGAATACACAGCAGGTCTCAGCGGTAACGGCATGGACATGGACACAGGTGAACTGGTGACCATCCAGCATCATGCAACAAGCCCTAGACACCATCACACGTCAATGCCACACCATCATCAACAATTCCAGACCACAAACATTATTCTTAATCAAGGACAAAGTAAGTTATTATAGGTATAAGTTACATGTTTATTTCATTTTTTTTTTTATTCAAAACATTTTATGTTGCACTGCATGATAATTTTATTTTGCGTTTTCCGTCTCAATAGCGCCAGAGGGCGTTCCGAACATGTTTTCACCGCACGGAGCGAGACCGCCTATCCGGCCACCCGGCGGTCCACCACAGCTCACACAGCAGATGATCCATTCCCCAAGTGCACAACAAATGATGACAAACCATCAATCCCAGATGCAAGGCAACCCACAAATGGGGCCAGGGACTCCACAGATGGGACCCGGAACACCTCAGATGGGACCCGGAACACCTCAGATGGGACCCGGAACACCTCAAATGGGTCCCAGCACACCACAAATGGGTCCAGGGACACCACAAATGGGAACGAATGTTCCACAAATGGCATCACCGAGAATGGCCTCTGCTCCCACTCAGATGTCCCCGGGGACGCCGCAGATGCCGACCATAAGTCAAGGAATGTCTATACCTAGTCCCCAGCAAATGGTGATAGGGCAACAAAGAGCGATTGCGCCAAAATTGGAGCCTCCCGACACAATGGATGCGCGCGCGATGTGGCTGCCTAAGAGAATGAATCATTGTAAGCTTATTGTTTTATTTTGCACGATTATGTAGCCTTTTCTGTAACTACTTTTTATTTTAATTGTTCTAGTTAAATTATCCCTCTTAAGAATGTGACTTTTATATGAATTGTTGCATTTTAGCCACCATGCCAGTTAGTATGTCCCCTGGGGGAACAACGCCGCTTATAGATGGGACTACCACTACTTTCTTTACTAATGAACAGACCTCAGCTGACACACAAATGACCCAAACAATGCCAGGTAAATTAAAAAAAAATGTCATTCTAAATAACGATAGTCTTTGGAATCGAGTAGTAAGTTTCTCTTAGCTTCTCAGAGACATAACATACAATAAGCAATACTATAATAAAAATAATACATAATAAAATAGACTATTGCTTGTCTTTATATCAATAATATAAATATATATAATATATCAATAATATAAATCACACTAAATACTTTGTGTAGTAATATATCCTTGCTATTCCAGTAGGCACAGTTTCAGTGCCGGCAGTGTCATCAGTGGGTCCAGTACAGGGTGTGCAGACGCCTACAGCGGAGAGCCAGCAGAACGGCTTCGCTAGTGCCACCAGCCCACCGCCGCAGCCAAGTCCCATCCCGCACCGCACGCAAAATCAGCATCAACAAGGTTAATAACTAACAATAGCCAACAAGGATCTTGTGGCAGTTGAAAAATATGTGAACTACCAATGACATCTTGACAGAGTCATAATTTGACCAATGAGAGAGCGGCAGCTGATATATGAGGGATGTTAATGTGTTTTTATTAAAGTTTCGATAGCGAACTTATTTTAAACTTATCACAGTTTTAAAATACAAAATGTGTATTTATGATATTTTGATAGGATAATAAATATTTGAACGCAATTTATGCGATTTTTAAATGTCTAGGAACATGGACAGGCAACAATACGCTTACATACACGCAGAGCCTGGCCCCGCCCCCCGCCGCCCCGCCCGTGCCTGTCGATGCCCCGCCCCATCATCATCATTACTGTATGTATTCAAAATTAAAATATACAAGGGTTTTTTTTACAATGTTTACGACTTGGTACAATATTTTTTGCAGACAATGGAAATCCCGGAGGTCTACTGTCTAGTCAGCCGGCACCGGAATATTGGTGCTCGGTGGCTTATTTCGAATTGGACACGCAAGTCGGCGAAACTTTTAAGGTCCCATCGAGTAGACCTAATGTCACTGTGAGTGTAATGTAAAGAAATTCAGTAAATTAGAGGCACAAAATTGGACCTAAATATAGTGGGTGTATGTAGTGGAGAAAATCAGTTGATTTTAATTTTATTTATTAGGTGCGCAACTAAGTTCTCACTTTTTTTTCGCTAAAAATATAACTTTATTATTAAAAAATGGTTACAAATGAATCATTCAAAGTATTGCCCATCGCTAGACACAACTTTTTTCCATCTTTCTGGTAGAGCTCGAATACCTTGACGCCAGAAGTGTTCGTCTTTTGAGGCTATCCACGAATCAAGCCGTTTTTTGATGTCTTCATATGAGTGGAACTGTTGATCAGCCAGGCCATGGGCCATCGAACGGAACAAGTAAAAATCGGACGGCGCAATATCTGGGGAATATGGCGGGTGGGGTAAGACTTCCCATTTGAGCGTGCCCAAGTAGGTTTTAACAGGCTTGGCAACGTGAGGCCGAGCGTTGTCATGCAGTAAAGTCACTTTTTCGTGCCTTTGCTCGTATTGTGGCCGTTTTTCGCGCAGTGATCGGCTCAGTCGCATTAATTGAGTTCGATACCGTTCCCCAGTGATGGTTTCGCTCGGTTTCAAGAGCTCATAATAAATAACACCGACCTGGTCCCACCAAATGCACAGCATAACCTTCGCAGCGTGAATATTCGGTCGAGCCGACGACGTAGAAGCATGCCCGGGTAGTCCCCAGGATTTTCTCCTCTTTGGGTTGCTGTAATGAATCCATTTTTCATCACCTGTCACGATGCGTTGAAGAAAACCCTTCCGTTTTTGCCGCTGGAGCAGTTGTTCACAGGCGAAAATACGACGCTCAACGTCTCTTGGCTTCAACTCATAAGGAACCCAAGTTCCTTGTTCTGAATCATCCCCAATGCATGCAATCGCTTTGAAATGGCTTGACGGGTAACTCCTAATTCTGCAGCAAGCTCTTCTTGAGTTTGGCACGAATCCTCATCGAGCAATGCCTCCAATTCAGCGTCTTCGAAAGTTTTGGGTCTTCAAACTGATATATAAACACGGCTAAACACTCACGTATATACGTCCGGTGGCGGCACCGTCCGCGAAATAATACTAGTGCCACTCATTCTGATGAAGGGCCCCCGATGGGCTCGAAACTAGTCGGTGCCGCCACCGGACGTATATACGTGAGTGTTTAGCCGTGTTTATATATCAGTTTAATATAATGTCTCACGAAAGTTTGAATAATTTTTGGGTCTTCCTTCACGTGGACGGTCGTCAATATCAAAATCACCGTCTTTGAAGCGACGGAACCAATCACGGCATGTTGTTTCGCTTAGAGCAGCGTTTCCGTACACTTCTTGAAGCTCTCGATGCGCTTGAGCTGCCGTTTTTTTTCGAATGAAAAAAGAAAATCAACACTTCCCGCAAATGACGATTGTTTGGCACGAAATTCGAAATTTTTACTTGACCAGAAGTATATAATGCGATAACAAAATCACTCATGTGTCGCAACGGTTTGTTTACCATATGTCTAAGCTTGGTTCATGACGTTTTGGATATGTCAAAATCGACCAGCTCTTACTGCTAGAGCCCATCTACTGATAAACAGGAGAACTTAGTTGCGCACCTAATATGTGAATCCAATTTTGTGTTTCGAGTTATAATTTATTTTTTGTTAATATGTTGTATTTTTATTATTTTAATAATTGTTATTTCAGGTGGACGGATACGTGGATCCATCCGGTGGGAACAGATTCTGTCTCGGCGCTTTAAGTAATGTACATAGAACGGAACAAAGTGAGAGAGCGAGGTGAGATGATTAAAATACAAACATGATGGTTAAGCGGGAAACTTCTTTAACTGGGACTCATTGTCAGGTCCCAACAGACGACCTTTATAAGCGAGAAAAATATGACGATCTCTTGGACGTTGTATTTTAGATATTACTAGTAGCTTGCATTCTTGTCTATTGATATTTTCACACCTCATAGAAAAGGATTCTTTAGTAAGATGTTCTAGAAAGTTGCACCATTTTGGTTTTGTTGTGTTGTCAGACTGCACATCGGCAAGGGCGTGCAGCTGGATCTGCGCGGCGAGGGCGACGTGTGGCTGCGCTGCCTGTCGGACCACTCGGTCTTCGTACAGTCTTACTACCTGGACCGCGAGGCAGGCCGCGCGCCCGGTGACGCCGTGCACAAGATATATCCCTCTGCTTGTATTAAGGTAGTCTATAACTAGCTTAAACCCCTTTTCCACTAAACGACTCGCCGCTCAGACAATAAAAATCCGTTGTATTGTTTAGGTATTCGACCTGCGACAGTGCCACAGGCAGATGCAGACGCAGGCGGCGACCGCGCAGGCCGCGGCCGCAGCGCAGGCGGCAGCCGTTGCCGGCCATATACAGCCAGCGCACCCCGGCATGAATAAGTGTAAGTCAAACACATACAAGGCTTAAGACCTCTCATTAAGATCCGAAAATGTATTGGAAACCAAAAAAACCCCGTACATCATAACTTACATCAATAATGATATGGAGCATTGTATATAGGTTTGACGGCGGCGGCTGGTATCGGCGTGGATGATTTAAGGCGACTATGCATCGTGCGGCTGTCCTTCGTCAAGGGCTGGGGCCCGGACTATCCCCGTACCTCCATCAAGGAGACGCCCTGTTGGGTCGAAGTGCATCTACATAGGTAACATGACTGCAGAATTTGCGATCGAAATATATTTAGGGTACTAGTGAACAATGTATTTATTAAACTTTTTGTTATTCCAGAGCACTCCAACTGCTCGACGAAGTTCTCCACACGATGCCCATCGATGGTCCTCGGACGAGCATCGAGTAGGAGTTGATCGGCTTCTTTTGAGGCCTTCGAGCGACACTCGGCGTGTCGCCACTTGCGGCAAGCGACGCCCGACATGCGACTAGTCGCGATCTGTGACCAGTCATGACTTGTGATGATTAGTTGAGACTAGTGATCAGTTGTGATGTGTGACCAGTTGTGATTTGTGACAGTGATCCGTGTCAGGTGTCGACAGTCGCAACTATACGCGTCTTATGACCAATCACAAGAACGCGACTTGTGACTAGTCGCAGTGAATTTGCGACTCGCAGTTTGTCGCCCCGGCGCGCGCCGCTTTTATGTTATTGTACAAGCCACCACTCAAATGTTAGTGATCCTTACATTGTAAAGATAGGTTAGTGATATTTTTATTAATGAGGTAAAATCATTGTATGGTACAAATATTAATATTCGCTTCAAATTAGAGATTAGATCTATTACGATTTTTTTTACAAAGTAGCCCTTTGTGAAAATTTGCAATGTTAATTTGATATTGAATAGGAAATGAAATTTAACACAACCAACATTAAATCATTGTTCAAAGCAGGTACAAATAAAAATTATATAAATAGACATATAGTACACAAATATATAAAGATGCATTCAGATAAATGAATTATAAATTCAAACCATTAGGATTAAATTGTAAGTGGGTTGCAAGAGATACTGTTATGGATTAATATTAAGTATATTATTCCATTTGGGTGGTGGTTTTTGTACAATAAGGTAATGTGCAAGTTTGTTTCGTGCGATAAGTGTTGTGTGGAACTGTGAAGTGAATAAGAATTGTTATTGGATTGTGATATATGAGGTGGTTTGCCATAGTTGCATTTATTAAAAAGGTTAGTTATTATTATTTTATATTTTCGTTATAAATAGCCAAAAAGGCGACTTGTTGCATGTCAACTGATGACTATAAAGTCTAAAATTTATCTAAATTATTTTATATTTGGTTCACACTTCCAAAGTGATCAATAAAGCCTTCATAGGTTTAAACTAAAGTAAGTTATGACTACTAAAGTTGTCTTTTTTTCGTTATTTTTTAATGTTTCGGCCTGTCTTCCAAAATTATTATTTTTTTAGTCTTCCGTCGGTTGGGATTGTTTATGGTAAAGGAAAAAGATTGTTATTGTATTGTAAATAGAAACAAACATTGCACATTGAATAAAGCGTTTTGCTCGCGTTTGTAACAAAAAGGTGAACTATTAATTTATGTCTTGTATTTATTTATAATGTTTAAGCGTATTTTCGGACGCATGTCGAAACCAAAACGATCGTATTACGATCTATAACTTGATTTCTCATGCGAACGACTCTATGATAAAGTATAAGTTTTAATATAACATATGTTCTATTCAATTAAACATGAGATTTTATTTAAGTAAAAAAAAAAACAAAGTTATATAGAGCTATTGTACTACTGCAACAAATCTTAAACTTTTTTGCGTATGAATCCTTTTGGGAAGAGGAATATTTGAAGGAATTCTAGATTCTAGATTTATTTTTTCCGGGGATCCTTTCAACGCTAAATATATATTTAAAAAGCAGACTACACAATTGATCAAATCAACACTAGCTATATCAGATTTTTGTTGGCCATTTTTATCTTTATAGCACATTTAGGGTACCTCATCCAATAATTAGTCGGGTATAAATATTACTTCTGTAATAATTGTTTCCAAATATAAAAGCTGCACAAGTTAATAATGTAAAATATAAATTTGATTAATTATTATCTCATGTTTAAAATGAATAGACTTAAAGATATTTATAACCAGTATTGACATGAAGAAACTAAAGAAAATATGGAGAGATCTCAGTTATTATTACACAAAACCTAAATGAATTACTGTAATAATTATGTAAGATATTAGCTATACACATACACATAGACAGATTGACGGACAAACTATTGCTCAATTGAGTGTAGAAGTAGTTGTGACGACATTTATAATATAAAAAAATAAATAGAAATATACGAATTTTAGTAACAGCTATACCAAAATAAGGCATTTTTATATAGTTTAAATATGACAAGACATAATTATGGTTCAACTTGAAAGAAGCCAAATTGGAATTAGCTTTTGATATAGTTTTAAGATGAGATATTGTGTTATGTAGGTTTTTTAAGGTGATAAAATATATGATAGTCGTAAATTATTTGTATACTTGAAGGGCATGCGGTGCAGGATGTAAGTTTGTTGGTTTACTCGACTGGATTTGTGGGATATGTACACATATTGCATTTATGACAAACATTGCAAAATAACTATTATAATTAATTACACATGCTTTTTGAAAGTGAACAATCATTCACTCATTCACGTATCACCATTCACATTGCTTGTTTCATTCACTTATTTAAACTAGTAACTACAATGAATGATTTGTGTCTGAAATAAAGTATTATATTTATTTTTAAGTTTAAAAATATAATGTTTGTTACTAGATTTAAATATCACCGCTTTAAATTACTCCATTTTATGTGATTTTGATTATTTTAGCAATATTTCGAATCCTTTCGAAAATTAGTCCCTTTAAAAGTAATTTAGAAATACTTATTTTTATTGGTCTGTGTCATCATCATCATCATAAACCTGCCCTTATCCCAACGGAGGGTCGGTACAGTCGGTTGTCGGTATAGGTCGTTCTCGAAATATGAATTTGAAGTTAGTTATTGGAACTAGAAATTGTAAAATAGAGTAATAAATGCAGTATGTGTAACAGTTTGGCCTTGTCGAGATCGGGTGAATCATATCGTTTTACCTGCTGTTGGGATAAATTCTCCGCGAGTTTGAAGTATGACTCAAATTTTTTTCGTACTAATTTGTTATGGATTTGAACTTTGACCTTTATAAATAAGCAAATTAGTCTAAAAGTTATCATTTTGTTGGAACTTTGACATTTAAGATGTTTTATACTGTGCTTCTTAAATTCTTGTGTAGCCTGTTACTGGAACTTTTACCTTACTTTTTCTTGTCACTTATTCAGACTTAAGTCAATAATAGCTTAGATAATTACTTTATAGAACGCAATGACATTTATATAAATAAGAACTGTGATTCAAGTATTGGACGGACGCTAACAAATTTAATGCATCCTGTTTGCGAGGTAAATTTATTTTTATTTGCATCATATGAGTAATCCGGTCACGTCATGGCTTTGATTATTTTCATAATCAGAACTGATACTTATCAAGTATAATTTGTATGACATATAGTGGGTTTCGACTCCAGTTATACTTGTTGTAACACATATTGTCGTCTCTTACATCCTATTTGAAAAGAGTGAGACAACAATATGAGGCACTAGAGCAGTGGTTCCCAAACTTATTTTGTCTACTGCCCTCTTTGAGAATCAATATTTTATTAGTGCCCCCATATTTTCACATATTTAAAAACAGTTATAATTTCAAATTAAATTAATTAATTATTATGATATATGTGTATATTAACGGAGAATTCTAAACGAAACTTTTACTATAACCCGCAACTTGAGACCTGTAGCGCCCACAAGGGGGCGTTATCGCCCACTTTGGGAAAGGCTGCACTAGAGTCAAATCCCACACTTGTGTTATCCGTTTCTTCTTGTTGTTAATTTCCGTTTTCTATCTTTACCTGAATGAGTTTTAGGATTGTAACATGACTGTTATTAGGTTCTAACGATATGGTTCACACGGTTTCATTGGTAATATATTGATCTGTGATGTGCTTACAAGTTATAAATTATTCGGGCACCAGAAAGATGGGCCGCTGATTGAGCGTTTTATGAACTTTGTACAAGTCAATAGCGGCGTTAAGGCACGTAGTTTAAGAACAAATGACATATTTTGTGTACGAAAAAGTATAATGCTAAGTATTAGCGATGTGTTTTTAGTAATATTAAATATTTGAGATTTTTTTTTGTCATTGATTTTTGTTTGCTTAAATATTGCTTTAATTATTATTACACTGCAGATTTATGTTTTGAATGATTATTATATTGTTAGTGAGAGTGAATTCGCATACGAGATATAGTTAAATAGTATCGTTAGCTTGGTGTAC